CTTAATTGGATTTCAATTGTCTCTTTGTCAAGACATGGAGACCAAGATGGTGTGGTCATCTCTTTGGTCACATTCTCCTTTAGCTTTAATGTTGGTTCGACCTTATTTTCGCATCTTGGTCAGAGTGTCAGCGAGGCCTTGTGGAACGTATCGTGTCCTCTGCCATAGTATTCGTGAGTTCCAGCATTGGACCATCGGCTGGGTACATTCGCAAACGTTTCGCCGGCATCATCAGTTAGAGACGCTATCGAAGGCACGTAGCTACAACTTATCAAAGTAACAAGTGAAGGCAGTCCCCATGACCAATTTTCTCTTCGACCGTTGTGGCATCCCTCCTCGCCCCAAATTTTTGTGCTACCTTTTAACGCCGCATCTCTTTCTCACAACCCCACTTCATATGACCCATCCACTTATTCACACAATTATGTGCTCTTATTTCCTCCAATGTCGACTAAGAGTGTGTCGCTACAAGTGGGTTTTGTGAAACGTAATCATCTCCACCATCGCTACCAGATGCCGTCTCTTTGTCGAGTTTCCCCTTTGCGCCAAGACTGGCAACCATCGCCAACGCTGGCCTCGAAAAGTCTAAAAATGTGTCAAGTTTATGGTATGGCGCAGGAAATTATCATGACTACTATGGTAATGGAGGCAGAATGACCCCATTACTCGATCAGACGTCTGAACATTGGCTAATTCCGGTTGTCAAGGCTACTCCTAAAGTGTGCAAACAACGCAATTTTAAAGTGGGCAGCCGAATAGTGGCGTGTTCGTCAAATTTCTGCTTGATTGGAGCTTTGGCGACTGTTCGGCCTCAGTCTGGCGCCGCGGGTTCCCCGAAGTCTGTGCCGTCTCGAGGCGTCTACCGAAAACGTGTGGTTCGACAGAATGGACGCCTCTTGTCAAATGCTATACTTCGTGGAAGTTGCGTCTACACTGGCCACAGCAACCTCTGACGAGGGTGGGTTTTTCACTCGATTTGGCGCAATTTCCCACCATCCCGTCCGTCTGTTCACCTCCGTCAGTGCTACGGTGGCCAGGACGCAGGCCACTTCGGAGTGGGATGACGTGAGACGCGAGAGCACGATGGCCTGTCCAAAATCCACACTCCAGACAAAGTTGGAGGCTGTTTTTCACACTGTGATTCACACTCCGACGAATGCATAATCACACGAGTCAGTCGGCAGTTGGTGAGCCCAACTGCTGATAGACAAGACCTTCTGGGCGAGGGTGTTCGGGGTTCGCTTTACAACTTTCGCCTTCCAACTGGGCATGAGGTCAGCCTGGCCCGGTTGTCGGGGGGTTGGGCTAAATGGGGAAAACCGATTATTTTACAGCAAAAAAGTAACAGCCTCTAT